AGAATAAGATGCAGAAACAAACACACCCATACAAAAAAAAACCACGATGTGAGAATTTGAGTTTCAAATAGAGCAGCATACAATAATAATAATAATAATAATAATAATAATAATAATAATAATAATAATAATAAGCTATTAAAGCCGACGATCTATCAGAAAAGCTGTAAAAATCTTCTGTAATTTATGTTATTCTTGAGCCTGTAAATCATGTAGTTTGATTTTATTAATATAAGGCCAACCACGTAAGTTCCCTGAATAACAGCCATTTAAAAGTTTATTTACCGTATCAAACAATTGGTAATTATAAAATACAGTGATATTTATTTGCAGGATGCAGTGCACAAAACATTCCCCTTTTCTTTCATTAAATTAATAGCTGCTAATCTGATGCGTTGTTTAATTGTAGTCGAATAACATGTATCTATACCATTACTGAATTAAATCAATTTATTTTTATAGAACTCTAAATTCGTGTATATAACTAATATTATAATCACAAATGAGAATAGTACAAACCATGGGGCCATATTTATATTGCTGAACATCGAGGGTCTGCTGCAGAAATGAAATAGGGGAGTTACATTTATTCATATCTCGTAAGATTTGAAGTTTTCACGGCTGTGACTATGAAGAATGCCGGCTTCAGTATAAACCGACGTTTCGGAAGAACGTATCGCCTCCATCTTCAGAATGGCTACAGCCAACTGCACACTCTGGTTCCTCGCTCGCGGATTTTTCTACCTTGAAAATGGAGGAGATACGTTCCTCCGAAACGTCGGTTTACATTATATCTACACGACGCCACATCCCAGAAGAAGAGATTCTTCTTATTCCTGTCCTTTTTACTGGTATTATATAACCTTTTTAACAAAGATTATTTTACTGGGCAGAGGCTTATTGGGAAATGGGTTGGAAGGTAGAGTTACACACTTCTTAGCACTACTTAAAATTTATTGCCGTTATATATTCATAAGGAGACGAAAGAAGTCGAAAGGTTGTAAACAACCTCATCAGCTTTACCAGAGGAATATCTATAGAGATCTTCCATCGGAGCTGTCGACAACCTTGGGCCCGTGAGCCGGATGCGACTCCTCAAACATTTCAGCCCTAACCACGGTGTTCCAGCACGTAACATGATTCATTCTAACAGCAAAAAAAAAAAAATCCATGGCCTGTAGTCTGCAAGCGATCTATACCGACCGAGCGACCGCCGCTTGTCAGTGAAGTTAGTGCCAACTTTTGCGGATAGAGGGTGTCGCATAGTCAGCGCAACGGTTCCCTACGGCCGTTAATCTCGGTTTTCTAGACCGGAGCCGCCATTTCCTTGAAATGCCTCCTCAATTATCCTCACTAGGCTGAGTGGACCCCGTTCCAGACCCGGTACTTCTCAGAAAATCTGGTAGAGACGGGTATCGAACCCGGGACCCTTTGATCTGTAGCCAGGAAGTCTGACCACTAGACCACAGAGGCGGTCGTGATTCATTCTAATCCTAAGATATTTGAGACTTTGACACAAATGCGAGTTGTCCGGAGACCTCGTATCCGTATTTCCTACTGTTATTTGCCTATAAGTGAATACGATAAAGTCGATGGAGTTCATTCCAGGTTACCTTACATTCGTGGAAGCAGCTTTAGCATATGCTGTCCGAATTAATTATCAGTTATACTGTTTTTGTTCTCTTATACATCTATGCGTATTGTCACTCTGCTTTCATAAGTAATAGCAATTTAATTGGTTTTGAAATGTTCGACATACGAGATATCCACAAGCAGTTAAGTATTTAATAAAATGTGCACTAAAATACAATAACAATTTTTTCTTTAATTACTGAATGTAAGTAGATTAGATTCTACATTAAGAAAGCAGTCTTCTGGGATTTGGCACCGTGTATATGTGGTGTTAACCGACGTTTCGGAGGAACGTATCGCCTCCATCTTCAGGGCAGAAGAAAAAATATAAGAAATCTGCAAGCGAAGAGACCGTGAGAAACGGTAAAAGCAGACGATGGAGGCGATACGTTCCTCCGAAACGTCGGTTAACACCACATATACACGGTGCCAAATCCCAGAAGAC